CCTCGTTCCTTCTCCCCCTCCTCCTCGTCCTCCTTGTCTCCCTTGGGGGGGCGGCGCGAGAGCGCGAAGTTATTCGCGTTCTCGCGCTTCGCGGAGCGCGAAGCACGAAGTTGGGAGCCCTTGGCGATGCATCGCCGACTCCGGAGCATTGTCCCCCCTCCCCTCCTGGGCCAGCCAGGGGCCCATCGCCGATCTACAGGCGATGCATCGCCGATTCTGGATGGTTGTTCCCCCCCTTCGGGCCAGCCCCTCGACCAGCCCACCTCGTCTGGAGAGGACGAGGGCCCGCTTGTCCCTGCCGCCGAGTTCGACGGGGACTCGTCGCACCAGCTGTGACAGGATTACGACGACGATGTCAACAAAAACCCCAGGGGTAACCAAGACGCACCGATACGGCTACTCCCCAGACCTCTCCCGGAGCGGGTTCTGACCAGGATTTCGAGGCGAATCCAGCGGTGGCGACGAGGGCCTCCCGGGAGGCCCCACAACAGGGAAAGCGAGGGAAGAGTAACGGTATGGGTATTGTAGTGGCCTCTGACCAGTGCCGCCGATCCGGGGTGCTCCCGATTCTGCTTGCAACGGATGATTTTTTACGGTTAAAAGTAGAGCGCTCGCTCGAGACATCCTCATAAGATAGAGATGTTGAACTCGCTTGGGCAACCTTCGGATATTCGAAAGTGACGATCTCGGGTGAACAGCCAAACTCATGGGATGTCCCCTCCCACCTTCCCGGCCTGAATGGCATCAGCCATGGCGTCAGCCCCCGCCCCCCCCACCCGACTCCCCCGTCCCGGGCGTGAATGGCGTCAGCCATGGCTTCGGCCCTCCCCCCCCCTTTCTCCTCTCCCGAGCCTGAATGGCGTCAGCCATGGCGTCAGCCCCCCCCCCCCGACAGAGTGAAGCTTGAGCGAGCTCCCCCGTCCCTCCCTCCTCCCCGGCCTGAATGGCGTCAGCCATGGCGTCAGCCCTCCCCCCCCCTCTCCCCGAGTCCTCTCTCGCGGGCCTGAATGGCGTCAGCCATTGCGTTCCCCCCCTCCCGCCTCCCCCCTCCTGGGCCTGAATGGCGTCAGCTGTGGCGTCAGCCGCTTCACCCCCCGACAGAGCGAAGCTTGAGCGAGCTCCCCCCCCCTCCCCCCTTTCGGGTCTGAATGGCGTCAGCCATGGCGTCGACTCCCCCACCCCCCGACTCCCCCGCCCCGGGCCTGATCTCCCCCCCCCGCCCCCCCCCCCCCTCCCCCCTCCTGGGCGCCAGCTATGGCGTCAGCCGCCTCCCCCCCCCCCCCGACAGAGCGAAGCTTGAGCGAGCTCCCCCCCCTCCCCCCTCCCGGGTTTGAATGGCGTCAGCCATGGCGTCAGCTCCCCCCCCCTCCCACCGACTTCCTCCTCCCCGGGCCTGAATGGCGTCAGCCCCCCCCCTCCTCCCTCCCGGGCCTGAATGGCGTCAGCGCCCCCCCCCCTCCCCCGACAGAGCGAAGCCCCCCCTCCTCCTCCCACCACCCGGGCCTGAATCGTCAGCCCCTCCCCCCTCCTCCCCCGCAGGCCTGAATGGCTTGAGCCCCCTCCCCTCCCCAATATATCGAAGCCCCCCTCCTCCCCCCTCCGGGTCTGAATGGCGTTAGTCTCTCCCCCCCCCGCCTCCTCTCGTCCCAGGCCTGATGGCGTTCAGTCTCCCCCCCCCTCTCCCTCTCTCCCTAGGGCCTTACGGGCCTGAATGGCGTCCAGCGCCTCCCCCCCTCCCCCGCCGGGCCGGGAATGTCGGTCCCCCCCCCCCTCCTGCCGTCCCTCCGGCCTGAATGCGTCAGCCCCTCCTCCGCTCCCGGGCCTGAAATGGCGTCAGCCCCCCCCACCCCCCCCCGACTTCCGACCGAGCGAGCCCCCCCCCTCCCTGGCCTGAATGGCGTCAGGTTCCCCCGCCCTCCCCTCCTCCTTCCCGGGCCTGAACGGCGTCAGCCTCCCCCACCCCTCCGACAGAGCGAAGCCCCTCCCCCCTTCCCCACCGGGCCTGGAATGGCGTCAGCCCCCCCCCCTCCTCCCTCCAGGGCCTGAATGGCGTCAGCCCCCTCCCCCCCTCCTCCCTCCAGGGCCTGAATGGCGTCAGCTCCGCCCCCCCGACAGAGCGAAGCTTGAGCGAGCTCAAGCCCACGCTCTCAGAAACTCACACGCCGGAGCGGCGGATTCTTTGCTTCTCTGAATCCTCCCCCTTTCGGCTCCAATCACACCTCTGGCGGGGGAGGTCGCGCAATGGAAGGCCTCGGAGGCCCAGAGATCGACACCAACACCAATATCGGCGGTGTGCCTCCACCGAGGGCAAATCATCCTGGTTTGGTGGTCATCTTCGTGCTAACTAGATGGCTGAAATATGAACACCAGCACCAACATCTTGGATCACCTTCCCTTGGTGGAGGCAACCTGGGGCTCCAGGACCTCGGCCCTGCTGGGCGCGGCAGGCTGAGCGGTCGCAGGCACCATCAGCCCAGGCAAGACTGACTCCACGCGGAGCGCTCCATCATGATGATGATGATGATGATGATGATGATGATGATGATGATGATGATGATGATGATGATGATGATGATGATGATGATGATGATGATGAGACTTGTCCTCTGAACGTGCAGGAGATGAATACACAGAGTCCGATACGTTTCGCTCAAGCCTTTTTCTCCTCAGGGAGCACCTGACACGTATGCGCCCTCCCGCCCTGCGGCTGCCATCGTGGACACTTGTCTGCATCTGGTGTGCTCTGGACGCGTGGCAGCCAGGCTTGCTGCGCTCGGGCGGCGGAGGCGGCCCGCCCGACGACTGGGACAGTCGGGCGGCCCTGGCTGCCCAGCGGGCCGCCGAGCGCGGCGCCCAGCTTGCCGCGGCGCGCGCGGCCAACCTCAGCCGGTGCCACGCCGCGCTGGACGAGGTGCAGGTCGTGTTGACCAACCTGTCCGCGGAGCTGGCCGAGCTCCGCATCCTGCAGGCGACGCCGTCCGAGCTGCACGAGGAGCCTGACACGCTCCTGTGGCACGCGATTGGGGTGGTGCTGACCGCGGCGCTGACGCAGTGTGGGACGTGCCTCGTCGCCTGGCGTCGTCGCGATGGCCCTCCTGCCCGCCAACCTGAGCCTCTTCCTGAGCGACGGGACCGCCGCCGAGGCGGCGGAGTTCTTCAGTGAGCTGGTGCCAGGACGGGTTGTCAGCTTCTACTACGAGGATGACCCGAGCATATGGCACGAACGACTGCTGCTCTGGCCGTACCCAGGCGCTTTTCCCAACACCTGCTGGAGCTGCCTCACGCCTGACGGCGATGTGTATCCCGAGGAGATGGCGGCTGGGCCCGACGGCGATGGTCCGAGCCGCGTCTCCCTCACGATCGGGGCGACTCCTGCTGCTGTTCGCCCACCAGGGCGAGTCTACAGATTTCGTGAATATCCTGCCGAGGACGACATGATCGACCTCTTGCGGGACGCTCGCCTGGCTGGCCGCAGCGCCGGCTTGCGCGAGCCCGAGCCGACGACCTTCATGCGCGACGGCGGCCGACCCTCCAGGAGCATGACGGTCAGCCTCAGCGACGTGCCTGGCTTCCTGCGCCGCACGCGGGGCAAGGGTCCGTCCGCTGCCGTGCCGCGCGGCCCGCCCCCTGGCCTGCCTGTGGTGCTGCGGGCGCCGAGCCAGGGGCGCTTGTCGGCGGCGAGGTCGGGGGCGCTCCGACCCCGAGGGACGGCCCTGGCGCAGTCGTGCTCACGGACGAGCGGGCCGCACCGCCTGGGTCTGCATGGATCGTGATGAAGACGATCCCCAACGAGTGCCAACAGCTCGACGAGGTCGTCCCGAGGGCGGGCGACGTGATTTGGGGGGAGAGCGGACTCTACAGCACGACGGGCGGCTTCATTGTCCCGATCGAGCTCCACCCTGTCCCGCTGTCTGCCGAGGTGTCGGACAAGCTGGCTGACGACGACGCGCGGCTCCTCGGCCCTCTCCAGCGCACGCGGGAGGGCCGCAGGCACCGCGACTTTCGTGATGCGGTGTCGGCCATGAGACAGGAGCAGCATGACGATTTCCCGCTCGTCGGCGAGCGCAGCTTCAAGTGGCTGTGCGACTACATCGTCGACCATGGGGGCACACCTGATGGCCGCCACACCAAGTGGATGATGGAGAGCGGCTGCACGAAGGACTCGGCGGCTGCGCACATCCACGATCTGCTCGGCTTCGCCATCGAGATGGCCGTCACCTACGACCAGGTCGACGGCTCCAACCTCGCCAGCATGGAGGTGGTCTCACGGGCCTACCAGCTGATCGAGGAGACCATGGGGAGCATGAAGATCGAGGGCGTCGAGCACTACATCGGCTGCCAGAAGCAGAGCGCCCGCCGTGGCGTCGCGATGGCGCCGGGGGTTGCCAAGTACGCCACCGATCAGCTCGCCAAGGAGACGGAGATTCAGGAGCAGAGGCGCTAGGCGCGCGAGGAGAAGTCTGCCCAGTCGGGCAAGAAGGACAAGGGGTGACCTGGGGTTGGCGGTCGGGAGGTGGCTCGACCCGATCGCCTCATTTTGTGAGCCAGTACTGTGGACATCCTGATGCCCAACCTCTTGGCGATGGCATGCTGCCCTTTGCTGTGTCCGCGTCGCCGATTTCCTCATCTCCCCCACCTGGACTATCCCGTTCGGTTCGGGCTCGTCTTTCTCGCACCCAGTTGATCGAGGAGCGTACTCGGGACACCGTGGAGTGCCTCAACTTGCTTGGGGGCTACACCACACCGCGGGTCGCGCCAGAGCGCCTCTCACATCTGGATGTTTTGCTACATCGACGTGTTCGAGGGCTGCATCGTGATATGGCTGCCCCTCCGAGCACGTCGGCCCAGGAAGCCTGCTCAGAGCTTTTGGGCCGCCCGCGTCTGCACTACGACACGGCTAACGACTTGCCGCTGAGGCCCTACGCTCCGCACCTCGTGAGCTGGCCCGAGCTGGGAAACGAGCCTCAGTGGCTCGCGGATCGGCTGGGGACAAGCGAACGATGCTCTCTCTCTTGGACCTCGACCATGCTTTGCTGCTGCCGCCACCGAGCTTCGACGAGGCCGTGGAGACAGAGGGGAGGCCCACATTGTACATGGACCCTGTGCTGGAGCGGAACAGGCCGCTCTACCTTGATTTCATCCAGTCTGGCATCTCGCGGGGCGTCTTCGTCTTAGGGAAAGAGAGGACCGAGGACGTCTCCGCCTTCTTCGTGGCCAAGAAGGACGAGCGGATCAGGATGGTGCTGGACTGCAGGCGTAGCAACCAGCGTTTCCAGCCCCCTCCATCGGTCAGCCTGTTCTCCGCCGCGGGGTTCGCGGACCTCGAGGTGCCGAAGGACGCGCCCCTCTACTGCGCGGGGGTGGACGTCCAGAACGCGTTCTACCAGCACAAGCTGCCAGCCTACCTGCGGTCGTACTTCTGCTTGCCGAAGGTCACCGCGGGCGAGCTCGGCATCAGCAGGCTTGACGGGCGGCGTGTCCCGCCCTGGGCCTGCCTTTACCCACAACTTGCCGTTGTTCCCACGGGGTGGAGCTGGGCACTCTTTTTCGTTCAGAAGGCTCACGAGCGGACGCTGGACCTGCACGACGCCCTGAAGCCCGAGCTGCGGGCGGTCGACTTCGTGCCCGTTCCCAGCCCGCTCAAGGAGCCCATCCACTCGCTGCACGTCGACAACGTGCTCGCGGTCGGCACCGACCGCGAGGCCGTGACCAGGGTCAGGCGTGAGGCCTCCAAGGCACTGGAGGGCTCCGGCCTGGCCGTCCATGACGAGACCGATGCCGCCGAGAACATGGCCATGCTTGGCGGGCAGCTGCATGGATCGCCTGCTCGCGCCACCTTGGCGCCACGGAGGTTCTGGAAGCTGTGCATGGGGCTCGGCTACTTGGTTCAACGGCGCCCCCGCGTCACCAGCCGTGACATCGAGCACGTCATCGGGCACTGCACGTTCGCCGCGCTGTGTCGGCGCGAGAGCCTGAGCTGTTTCAGCGCCGTCTACTCGTTCGTCCAGCAGAATTACCAGCGCGCCAGGCCTCTCTGGGCGTCGGCACGGCGCGAGTTCAGGATATTCCGCGGGTTGCTGGTCACGCTCGTCTCGGACCTCGACGCCGAGTGGTCCACCAAGGTCGTCATGACTGACGCCTGCGAGACGGGCCACGCCTCGGTCGAGGGTGAGTGGGACCTCTCCGAGGTGCAGAGTGCTGGTCGCTGGCACGAGCGGTGGCGGTTCCGCCACGCGCGTGAGGCGGACGGGGGTTGGCGGCCGCGCGACCGCGCGGCACGTGCGGCCGAGGCCGCCGAGCTGGATGCACACCCGTCTGTTCTGCTGTGCCAGGGTCTCGCCAACAAACGATCCCCTGAAGTGTCGACGCGCACCATCCGCCGCACCAGCTGGTCGACCATGCACTACTCGCCTCTCTTCGGCAAGGAGCCCATGCATCGCAAGGAGGCAAGAGGTGACTTACACGCCGTGAAGCTGATCCTGTCGGACGCGGACTCCTGGGGGAAGAGGCGCGTCGTCTTGGGGGACAATCTAGCACTCACACTTGCACTATCTAAAAGACGTCGTCGTGATATATTTATGCTCAACATCTTGCGGCGAGGCGCCGCCTTGACTCTCGCCTCGGGGGCCCGCATGCATCGACGATGGGTGCCCAGCGAGTTCAATGCGGCCGACGGTGACAGCCGCTCCCGCGAGGGTGCTGCAGGACGCGCTGCATCTGGGGCCAGCTGGCGCGCTGCCGCGGCGCGCGGGCGCCAGCTTCGGCACCGCCGCAGCTCGGCGCGGGGCCCCGAGGGCGACGGTCGGCCCGACAGCGGCTGGCCCGCGGCCCCAGCGGCCCCGCCTGGACTCGAGCGCTGCCCTGCCACTGGCAGCCGCGCGCCCGCTGCGGTCCCGCGGCCTGTCGGCGCCGGCGTCGGCCAGGCGGCTGAAGCGCAGCGCGCCTGGGAGTGGCCCGTCAGCGCAGGCCCCTCCGCAGCCCTCGGCGGCTCGGACGCCGCTACGCCGCAGCTGGGGCCCCCTGGGCTCGCCTGCCTGGCGCCGCCGCGAGGCTCTGCTTCGACGTCCGTCGGTGGTGCTAGCGGCCCCGCGCAGCATCCCCCTGCGGGAGCTGCCGCGGTCTGTGCAGCGCCGCCTGGACGCTGGGGAGCAGGCGCGGGGCACCACCCGCCAGCTCTCCATCACCGAGGCTGCCGCGGTGGGACGGCGGAGCCGACTGCAGTGCACGCGGGACGTGAAGGTGGCGGTTAGTTTTTGGAGCTGGGGTTCTGTCAGGGGGTGGGTGGGAGAGTGGGGATGGTCGGGGGTTGGGAGGGGGTGGGGGGGGCGAGCGGGGGTTCTCTGTTGCTGCGGTGGAGACTCTTGCGTATGATTGTTTGCCCCCCTTTTTCGGTTTCTGTTAGTTATTTTTTGTTTTTCTATCTTTGCTCTTTTTTGCCCACCTGCTCCTTTCCTCTATTTCTTTTTTTTCACTTCTTATTTGCATCTCTTTTTTTTTTTCGCCCTTTCTTGCTCGAGCTGTTCCTCAGGCGCAGCCGCCTGACGTCTCTGGCGGCGCCTGCTGCCGACACGGACGCCGCGGTGGTGAGGTTCTTCGACGAGCTGTACCTCGAGGGGAAGGTCGCGTCGACGGGCGAGAAGCTCCTCGCCGCGATCTTCATGCACGTGCCCGACTACCAGAGCAAGGGGAAGCTGGCCCTGCCGCGCGCCTACCGCGCGCTGCGAGGCTGGCGCCTGCTGCGGCCCTCGCGGACGCGACGCCCGCTGCCCTGGGCGGCCTGCATGGGCGTGGCACGCCAGATCTGGAAGATCAGCGGCCGCCCCGCCCTCGCGGTGTTCTGGCTCCTGATGGTGGACACGTACCTGAGGCCTGGCGAGGCTTTCCGCCTGACCTGCGGCCAGGTGATGCCTCCGCAGGCGCACATGCCCAAGGTAACGATCCACATCAACCCCGACTACATGAAGAGGCCGAGCAAGACTGGCGAGATGGACGAGACAGTGGACGTTGCACGTCCGTGGCTGGGCAACCTGCTGGTTCGACTGGCCCAGGGCCCGCCCAGTGGCCCCCTGTGGACCTTCACTATGACGGAGGCCAAGGACGTGTTCGAGCGCGCGACCCGCGCGCTGCACTTGGACAAGCTGCTGCCCGTGCTCTACACAGCCCGACACAGCGGTGCGTCCATCGACCGTTTCACGGGGAGGATCTCGTTGCAGGAAGTCCAGCGGCGCGGCCGCTGGCGCCAGCCGAGCTCGGTCAGGCGCTACGAGAAGCGCGGGCTCATCCAGGCAGTGTGGAGCGAGATGGAACCCTCAGCCAAGGCATGCTGCCTCCAGGCCGAGGCCGAGCTGCCCTCGCTGCTCGCCGCCGCCTCGATATCCGCCAACGCCTGAGTGACCCCCGTACCAAGAGGCACGAGTATTTCTATGTAGAAATCTTCTCGGGCTCAGAGCATTTCTCGAATTCGTTGCGCCGTCGTGGGTTCAGAGTGTACTCTTTTGATGTGCTGCAAGGGCCCCAAGGTGACCTCCTGAGGCCCGCTGTCCTTAGGCGCATCTTGGGAATGATCAAGTCTGACAAGTGTCTAGGTGTGCTAGCTGGTGTGCCATGTAAGTCGTTCTCCATTGCCCGAGGAGGCCAGAATGCAATCAGATCGTCGCAAGCGCCCTCTGGCCTCCCCTCTCTCCCGCCTCATTTGCAATGCCTGGTAGACGAGGGCAACAAACTGTTTCAGGTGTCCTGTAAGATCTTTAAGTGCTGTAAACAGATGCGGGTTCCTTTTTTGTGGGAGAATCCTCAGTCATCCTACATGTGGAAAATGGCTGCTGCCGTTCAGATCTTTCGCTGGCCCGGGGTCCGCGACATTATAACTATTTACTGCGGTTGGGGCACGCCGTGGTGTAAACCCACTAGGCTCAGATGCTTCCTGCTGCCGAGAGCCGACGAATTGTGTAAGCGTTGTAAAGCTGTCCATGGCATCTGCTCGTTCTCTGGGAAGAAACACCAGATTCTCCAGGGCCGAGACGGCCTGGGCATTCACTGGACCGCTCGTGCCGCTGCTTACCCTCACGTGCTTGCGAATCAAATGGCCGATGTGTTTCAAGATGCTGCATTCGATCGTGTCTTTCGGCAAACCGTCCGCCTGCACCCCTTCCGCGTGCATGACCCCGAGCCGCACTGACGGCAGTGAACCGATAGCGACTTTTGGTGCCTCGAATGTCGGCACGATTCTGTATTGTGCGTTGTTGTGTGTGTCACGCCGGCGTGCTCCCAGAGTTGTGCTGACTGCAAGGTCACCGCATGCGGATGACATATATGAGAGTTCTGTATAAATGGACGGGTGGGGAATCTCCGACTTGTCCTCTGAACGTGCAGGAGATGAATACACAGAGTCCGATACGTTTCGCTCAAGCCTCCCTCCCTGTCTGAACTGGTGCACGACCTACCCGCCCTAGCTTCTGGCGGGCCGCAAGCAATTGTCTTGGCTGCACGATTCTGTATTGTGCGTTGTTGTGTGTGTCACGCCGGCGTGCTCCCAGAGTTGCGCTGTCTGCAAGGTCACCACATGCGGACGACATATATGAGAGTTCTGTATAAATGGACGGGTGGGGAATCTCCTGATGATGATGATGATGATGCTGATGCTGATGATGATGATGCTGATGATGATGATGGTGATGATCATCATGATGAGGTTTCCCGGGTGCCTCTTTCAGTTTCCGTAGAGCTTCTCGGGCCGTGTTGAGCCGATCTTGAACGGCCCGTAGGCCGCCTTCCACGCTCGTAACACCTCAGGGGCCGGATGCGACAATCAGAGGAACACCTTGCGAGTTTGCGCGTTGAGTTGTTTCCTTGTAGCACTAGTTGGAGCTCATTTGGGGCTTTCTTCGGCCGTCATTCGGACGCCAGGGTTATCTCTGCCGTTTTGGAGGTTCTGGCGCCGGCATCGGATTTTGATGCTAAGGCTAGAGCTTGTTTCGACAGTCCACTTTCGTTGCCCCCTTCATTTGCCACGGGGGGGGAACAAAAACACCGCGGGGGGCAAAACAACAAAAGCCCCCCCGCCCCAGGGGGAAAAAAAAAAGAAACGACAAATAACCGGAGGAACAAAAAACAAATAGCCCCCCCGGGGGGAGAGAAACAAAAAACGCCGGGGAAAAAAAGACAAAAAGCCCCCCCCGGGGGGCGGGAAAAAACCGCCGGGGGGGAAACAAAAAAAGCCGCGCCCCCCCGGGGGGGAAACAAAAAAAAAACACCCCTCGGGGGGGGGGGGGCATCCCCTCTTGGGCCGTCTCGGGCCGTCGGAAGATCGAAAAGAAACACATGCCAAAAGCAGTCAAAAACCTCAGGCAAATCAATGATTTTGGCTTTTTCAGGCTTGGGCCGTCGCAATGACCACCTGGCCCGTCTGACGCCGTCGGAAACCATCTTGAGGGCCTTTCTGGGCCGACTTGGGGCCCTCTCGGGGTGCTCCAGGGCTGTCTTGGAGGCCATCCTAGGCGTCTTGGAGACCTCGTGGGCCGTCTTAGGGCCCTCATGGGACCGTCTTGGGCGCGTCGTGGGCCGTTCCAGGGCCATCTGGGAGGCCTCTTGGGCGATCTTGGGGCGACCTTCGGGAGCTCTTGGGCCGTCTCGAGCCGTCGGAAGGCCAAACAGAAGCAAATGCCAAACTCAGTCAAACACCTACGGCAGATCAATGATGTTGGCTTCTTCGGGCCTTCCTGGAGGCCCTCTTGGGGGCCTCTGGGGCCGTTTTGGAGACCTCTTGGCGGCGTCTTGGAACTATCTTGGGACGTCTCAGTGGCCTCCTGGCCCGCGCCCTCGGGAGCCGTCTTGAGGGCCTCTCTGGGCCGACTTGGGGCCCTCTCGGGGTCCATCTTCGGCGTCTTGGAGGCCTCGTGGGCCGTCTTGGGGCAGTCTTCGGGGTTTCTTGGGCCGTGCTGGGGCCATCTTGGAGGCCTCTTGGACTATCCCTTTTCAAAATACGGCTCTCGTCCTTACACGGCACGCGCGCGCACGCACGCATGCGCACTCTCTCACGCACACGCGCGCACGCACACGCACACGCACACGCACGCACACACAGACAGACACAGACACAGACACAGACACAGACACAGACACAGACACAGACACAGACACACACACACA